AGGGTTACAAGAAAACTCTAGGTACCCCAAATCTCCTCAAAAATAGTGAAGAAAGAAGTATGAAAAAAGACCTATCGAATAGCCACTTTGTTCCAATGCTTACACCTCAGCGCTTCCTGGCCATGCCATTTATATGTTCTGCTACCGATCAGCTCCCAACTGCTCCTCTTCACTCTAAATTGAAATCAACAGTATAAAGTAATTATACGAACTGTGTTGGGCACTAGGCACGGAAAAGCTAGCCTAGTTGACAAGATGTGCACGCGCTGCGGCTATTGATGCGGTGCGGTTCTAGCTGTCTGCGAATCTTATGTCCACGTTGTCTCTACTCACTGATAGATTTTTGCGCCGCAAATGCAAAAGACAAAGACAAAAGACAATTTCATTCCCCGGTTGACAAAACTTGTATATTTCTTGAAAAACCAACAGTGCTTTTAGGAGGACACGGTTGCAAACTATTTGAAAGGGGCTGAATGAATTATGAGATTATGCAAACAGTTTTGATTTTAAAATACTTATATATCTTAGTCATGGAAAATCAAATTACTCTACTTTAAAATAGATTCGGGGTTAAAGCAATATGGACTTGTATCTCACTTAATTCAAGAACCAGCAATCGCAAAGGCGGTGCTTGCAGGTGCGCTCGCTTTGGAACCCGCTCGGTTTCCCGCTATCTGCTGTTTTTTGAATTGCGCTTATGATTCTTCATATGTTAGATTTGCAAATAATTTAACCTCCATTTCACCTGCAATTGAACGTCAACAGTTCAAAATTGCGTTACCACGTAGCATGTGGCTTTCGGAGGGGGAGGTGTAACCTCCCCGTTTGAAAGCCAAATGCATTGAATTCTTAACAATAAATAAGCTCTTCCATTTTTGGTGCTTCATTTCGGTTTTTTGCTTGCTATTATTTTTGATATTGTGACCCACTTTTTGCGACCAAAGGAAAAAGAATCTGCGCCAGAGTCTTTCTGACAAAAGTGGTGGTTTGCAAACATTTACTTCGACTTCGCAATTTTGTTGTAATCAAAACTCTGTCTAGTAGAATACAAAATTTTTTTTACATGAAAAGTACGGTCAGCACTTCTTTTCTTACATTTCACCTTGCCTCTCTTTCACTTTCTTTTCACTGTCAAAATCGCCTATCCCGAAATTTTTCAGAATGTAGCTCATTATGTGAACTCTTTCAGACCGTACAGATTTATTCCATTGATAGCAATCTCTCATTTCTAATCGATGAGCTAGTACAAAGAATCAGATTCTGATTTTTTGATCTGTATTCAAAAACTGATTCATATGTTATTCGTTCATCCAACCACGATTTCCTTTTCTTTGATTGGTATATGACTGTAATTGCTAGGACACCTCATTTTGGAAATTCTGAAGTTTTCGAAAAAAGCAAGGCAGGTTGTAAACGTCATAAATCATAATGTTCCCAATAGGGTATTTAACAATTCTTGAAGCAGTAGATTTTTTGAAGGAATCAACATCACTTGAAAAATTTTGCACTGTATCAAAACTTGCCATGCATTGAGGATCAAGCATTTTTTATGTTTTCAGTTCCCTGATGTAGTAGAGGGAATCTTCACATCTATCAAGGCCATCTCACGAGACGCAGCAAAAATTTTATATCGGCCGCCTGAAGAAAATGGTGAAACGTTGGATAGATTGGAAAGTGGTGGTCATGGCACAACCGTACCCGATAACGATCATCACTCATTGCAGGTAATTTTGCACCACTTGGTGAATAGTCACCGCGTCCGTCGCATTTGTGCGTTTCCTCAGATCCTAATGCTTTTGTACCCTCGTGTACCTTTGGTGTCGTAAAGTCGCATATTTTGATTTAGGCAATGAAGTACAAATATTTGAAAAATTGAGCTTGAATAAAAAAATGAGCAATGATGGCCATATCCAATTTTTGATCGTTTATTTAGACTGAAAGACACTAACTCGGCAAAGTGGACGCTTTTTACATCTTGATGGTGCTAGATAGTAAATAATCTTTCCCCTCGTTCTCCCCCAACCTCGCCTTTCATTCTGTGCGCCAAGTCCTGGGAACGCCCCTCAAAATCCAACCTCCCCCCCCCCCACGTTGAGTGGCGTCAATGGTGAGCTTTTTGAGGCGTGTTTACAGGACTTGGCGCATTTATCGAAGAGTGGGGTTTGGGCTGCGGTGCCCTTGGAGAGTCAGCTATACAATACTCAAATTCTGACGGCGGTTCATCTTGCCGAGCTACTGCTTTCAGTGTAAAACACACAGTGGTAGAAATTCCTTCTCTCCCATCCCTGCGCTTGATAGTACACTTTTCGAATTTTTGCTGATGAAACCAGCCACCTGAAGGGAGTTTCACAAATCCTCAACCAATAGCATGCAAAGTGTCCTCGTTGGCATAGCCGCGCCCGCCTGAGAGCCTGCTGCTCAAGAGGTCGCCCACACTTCGGACATTCTTAGACGATCCTAGGCATATCAGTGTATAGATGTCCAAGAATGTCCGAAGTGTGGGCGACCTCTCGAGCAGCAGGCTCTCAGGCCTTCACCGAAAGCTGGTCCAGCTCGGATAGAGATCATGCTGTGAGTGGTTGACGATTTTGTGAAAGTCTACGTTCCTCTCACATAGAGCGTTCCATAACCAGACAGCCGCTTTCTGTTCTCGCCCACTCACCCCGGACGCCCTTACAATTAGCAAGCAGCTGGCTGCCGCTCTCTGATCTTCACATCTTCACAGTACACGGCGCCTCTGAGATCTGAGAAGCTTAAAGCTCGTTTCGCGTCGTGAAGCGTGTCGTTCCGTGATTTCAGCCGCATCATGGAGGAAGCGTGCGTTCGTCGACGTTCTCCTCGTACGTGGCCGGCGGCAAACGGGGCAGCTCGGCTTCGGCCGTCTCCGCAACATCCGACAAAGGAGAACTCGTCGACACGTTCAGCAAGCTTAACGTAAGTGGTCGTCCTGCACGGATCACTCCGTTCTCCGTTTCAGTTTTTACGCTGTTGCCGGGAGTGAATTCTGCCGCCTGCACATTCCTCCCTCAGTCGCTTACTGACATTGATAGATTAGAGCATTTCGTCTTTCTGACAGTCTTTTAGCGGGTTTGATGGACAGCGTCTGCATATTTTTTTTCGTAGATTTGCATTCAAGCTCGTAGAATTGCTTTGAGTGAGTGCTCACGCTTTATAGATTTAGAAAAATCTCGCCTTCCAGAACTTTCGAATGGGTTGACAATGGTGTCTTTTTCGAATGTTGTAAAGCTTCAATGCAGCCAGAACAAGCATGCGGCAATTGTCGTTTGCTCTTTCACGTGAAGCTTATAAATGTACGTAAGGACCTCTGCCGAAAAAATAATCAGCTGCTGATTGGATTGGGTGTAAGGTGGATCAGATATGTACGACACTTGCCAGATACGGTATACATCCGAAAATGGCTGGTGCAGGAGGTGGCGGATCAGTGTTCGCATTTTTAAAGTCGGGTTTGTCTCATTTGCGCAAGTTGTCTTTGTTGGTTATGCATAATTGTGCCACTCTGCTTGGCTCAGTGGTAATCGCGCAGCAAAACTTCATTTTGAGAGTTTTTTCAAATCAGGTTGGCACTTAAGTTTTGCAACTTTTTCTCATAACTATTGTCAGCTTGAACGTGGCGCTTTCATTTTTCTGTATTATAATGTCTGATATGTGACCAACAAATGCAATCATTCCTGACAAATTTCGTCATTGTTTGAGAGTTACGGTAAGGCAATTTCTGAATGGAAAAAAAGAGGGAATTATCACAGATTTGGATAAATCGTGTTCTAAGGGGGGGGGATTTACGACATCCTGATCAAAAAATGATATTCATTTTGAGTGGAAGACTTATTTTGCTGCGAAAAAGCTGAGTTATCGAAAATCAATGGGCTAATTTTTGACCCCAACTTAATATGATATCTGTGTTTAGTATGTCAAATGACCCCACTATGCAATGTTTCGCCAAAATCCGACAGTTCCGATATCTTGCAGTGATGTTATTCAAACGAAGACTTACAGAAAAAGATTCGACCAAATTCAGCCGGAATTGTAAGCAAATTGTTCTCAGACGGTGGCTACTGAGTCCAGCGAAAAAAGAATTGTAAGTTCTAGTCGAATCGAAATCTGGCAATCTCTTAATTTGAACGAGTCATATGCGTCAGAGTCGCTTTTGCTAAAAACGTAAAACCTCGTTTGATCGCATTTAGGAGAATCCATAAATTTTCTTCCATTTTGTTATAAAAGTTCAATGTTTGCACATATTCATAGCCCAGTTCCAAGTCTACAGGTGCGCCAAAATTATTTCCGCCAAAATATACAAAGTAATGCCACAACAAGGGCAATGAGAAATGTGATCTAGATCAATGTCACAGACTGCGGTAAGCATACTCTACAAAAAGCACTACCAAGATCCCAAATCGGTCTTTATATAGAGAAGTGAAAATTGCAAAAAGAAGGTTCGTTACGCGAAAAACGCAAGCTGACGCAAATTATCAAAAAGTTAAAATTTTTGTTTCGAATGCTGTTAAAGATACCGAACCTCAATGATCTTAAAGTTCTTAAAGTCCAAGACTAGCTGTATTATATAGCAAAATTTTTCCTGAGAGAAGCAGTCACTAAAAAGATACATGCTGGGCAAATTTGTGAGCCTCTACCCGCGTGCAGCATGCGACCAAGCCAGACAAATGTTATGAATTTTAAAGAAAGCAAAACAGGCAATTTCCTTTTTTTCAACTAAGATACAATACTATAGAAGCAAGAAAACATTATCAAGCTTGACCACTGGCTGAGCCGGTCTTATATTCGTATGGCGCTTAATGATACACGCGCAAATAATTGTGGCGCCTATAGAGAACTTCAAATTCTGCTTGCAGATCATTCAAAAAGAAAAAAGTTATAAACAGAGTTGCAAAACTAATGTGCCAACCTAATATAAGAGGAGCTTATGGTTGTTCTGAAATCATATGTGCTTTACAGTGTAGTAAGGGTGAAATTCTAATTTGTGAATGATGACTGCTGAAAAGGGGAATCGGGAATATGCGCGTTTGAAGGATTGGCTGCTGAAGTCGGAGGGGTGGGCACGTCCTGACGACAGTCGGTTGATTGATTCTGACAGTTCCGAGTCATTAGCTCCGAGATCGATTCCCTTCTAGCAGTCTGAGGGCCAAACATGCTAATTAGTCTCAAACTCTCTTTTTTTTGAACGTTCGTTTTCCAAACCAAAGTTCTAATGACAGCCGAACATGTTTTCCCAAGAAGTTTGGTGGCTTTTCCTGTAATGCCAACTGTCTTCATCTAGATGCACCGCAAACGCTGTTGGTTATGATTACTGGAGAGTTGATCAAACTCGGATACGAAGCATGGCAACCTCCACTTGGTGATCCTGGAGTCGTTGAACATCAACGAAGGCCAGATCTGTTCTCAACGCCAACTCCGTCGACGACATGCTCGACGCCGGCATCCAAACACAAGTAGTAGTGATCACTTAGGCTACGCCCCTCGTCTTCGACACCCAGCTCAACTATCCGTGTGTTTTACGTAGTTTATACCCAAAGTTGTGCTGTGTTTCTCTTGTTTCCTCATCGGCAAGCGACAGTCTTGGTGCTGACGGTTGCCGATCGAACTCGCTTTTTACATGCGTTCCAACTCGAAGAAATCAACTTATCTCTTCCAGTCATAACTTTTTTGTTGTATTGATATACAGGGTGTCCCAAAAGTATGTATGCACTGTTTGATCGTTAATATCTCTTTTCCCAAAAAGTCTTTCGCCTTGCTTTAGGTACCATTTTGTAGTGCTGGCTTCAACTTAGATTTTCAGTATAGAACGAATCATCCATCTCTCTTAGTTATTGTAGGATTACGGTAGATACTTCATAGAGGGTTTTGAGCCATGAAAGACCATATTTTGCCTCAGAAAAGAAACAAGACAGCCTGAAAACTTCTACACTAGGCTAATTAATGTTGCTAATTTTAAATGTAAACTTCCCAACTTATCATGATGTTTTATTGAAGAGTTATGCCAGGTAAGAGGTTGCGGCCATTTTTTCAATGTTCCTAAAAAGTGCGGTTACGCCGTTTACAAAGCTTCGCAAACTTATGAACAGTTGACTCTTGAACTCAGCGTCCATAAAAACCCTATTACACAAGTTTTCACATTTTTTTGCAAAATTTTGAAATGGCAGCTTTTTCCACATTGACACCATATGTTTCAAGTTCCTACCGTGATCCTACGGTAATGAAAAGCGGTCGGTGATTCTCTCCATACTGTAACTCTAAGTTGAAGCCAGCTCTACAAAATGGTACCTAAAGCAAGGCGAAAAACTTCTTGGAAAGAGAGATATTAACGATCAAACAGTGCTTACATACTTTTGGGACACCCTGTATTATGAATACATTTATTTTGGGAGTTTCTCAGCGAGTCTTCCTTGTATTCCTTTCTTGGGCAACACCAGCTCTAGATCAATTAGAACTGAGTAGTGGGATGTTGTGCATTTAAATTCGACGCTCGAATGTTTGGAACGAATTATTGTCCTGGCATTCCTCAGGGGCATCAAATGGACTACGCACAACTCCCTCAAACAGTACACATCACTTCCGTCTTGGTTTGCCTCATTTTCGTTCCGTTTGTTATTCTTTAGCATGTGTCGGTCAATGCGGATCAGTATGTATTGGTGCACGCCGAATTTCTTCCGCAATATCCAGTCCATGTTCACTCGAATAATATTTACACCATTCTCACTGATTTGTGTTAATTACTCGCCAGAAGGATTCTGTTCAAAAGGAGATACATAGGTCATATATTGCCCTTTTTTCATCGATACATTTTATCAGATTGATGTTATGATTGAATTTTGATTTGTTCGTTGTAAATAGGTTGCAAGGTACCATTCGATAGCTCTACAAGATGGCTATCTTGCTTTAGCAACAGCTCTGATTCACCACGAGTTTAAAAACTAAAAAGATTCAACTGCCCGATAAATTGAGAAAAATTGTAACTCAGTTCATAAAATTCCTACAAAAATTCTAACTTGCTCACGTAAACGCATTCCACATAAGGCATCTACTCAGATAATCGCCGGGGGCAGGCGGGCACCGGAAAATTTGCGTTACTGAAATTTCGCATTCCGCTCGCAAGTTCCAAGTTAATACTCAGCGAATTTTTGAGAGACCGCCTGTTGAATTTTTTTCCGCTCTTATCTTTTGCAGATACATTGCTGAATCTCTGAGAAATCGAGAACTCAGCAAGCGGCGTTCCGAAAAGTCATGATTGCTTTTCAAAAAATCCGCGGGCGGGGTGCGAGAAATCAACCAACTATTTTTCTGGTGCCCGCCTGCCCCCGCCGATTGTCTGAGTATATGCGCCGTTGCCGTATTTTTCTCTCTGTTAAAATTCAAAAAAACGGAAATTTTCGAGCATTTGCTGAAGTGGTGCTGTGCCGTTCCCACATAAGTAGTTGTATACTACAAACCTTTAGAAGTACAAACGTAAACTTCCACCTCTCTACAAGCTTCAGTTCGCGAGAAATTTGAATTTTAGCTTGGGCTACATGATTAGGGCAAACTGTATTCAATATTTCTCGAGAAACAAAGCTTGTAGAGAGCTGAACATTTACGTTTGTACTTCTAAAGGTTTGTAGTATACAACTACTTATGTGGGAACGGCACAGCCTCACTTTAGCAAATGCACGAAAATTTCCGTTCTCTTGAATCCTAACAGAGAAAAAAAATACGGCAACGGCGCATGTAGATGCCTTATGTGGATTGCGTTTACGTGAGCAAGTTAGAATTTTTGAGGAATTTTATGAACTGAGTTACGATTTTTCTCAATTTTTCAGACACTTAAAAGTTTTCAGTTTTTGGCGCGAAACTCGTTGCGACTCAGAGCTATTGCTAAAGCAAGATAGCCATCTTGTAGAGCTTGCTGTACTCTATCGAATGGTACCTTGCAACCTATTTACAAATGAGAAGTGTATGACTTATTGCGGTTGGAAATCAAAACCTGCATTAATTTTCGGACAACCTAATAATTGATAATAAATGAATCAAAAATTGCCTTAGCTGCAATGTATTGAACTAGCTTGGTTTCCTGTTGTAGAGGATGACACGAAGTTTGGTTGCGACTGCTACGCGGGTTCGCATTGCATCTCGAATTTGGGTAAATGAACCCACACCTTGATAACCTATGACGAGCGGCAACCACGACTTGATGTGGTATGCAAACGTGACTTTTGTTTCAAATTATGTTAAAATTGAACTTGTGAGTGGATTTGTGTTGTTACTACTGCTGGACTATAATACTATGACAAGAACCCACAACTACCACTTACACTTGTACTAGTGTATTACCAACTATAGTAACTTCTATTCATTAATCTTCTTCCAGAAGACCTGTGAAAAAATGAACGGTCATCCTGGAGTTTCAAAATCTTATGTGTCCTAATACCGGTTCCCTAATTTGTTGGTTTCTAGACCAGCACGAAACCAATTGAGTTGGTTCGGAGCATAAATTCGGAGACTTCACATAAGTTTTGGATTCTTTTTAGATCTGGACAATTAGAACGCTTAAAAATCTATCATATAGCGAAGAGGGCAAATAGCCACAAGACTTGTAAGAAGCATATAAACGCTGGGAAATTATTGGATCGAACTCATCCCAGAAGATTGGTCAAATGACTGCTAAATTTCATATCAACGAACAAATTTGATTTGTAATTTCATAATCCCTGCTGAGAATCATTCAAGCACATATAGAAAAATTGGTGAAAACAGACTGCTTCGCCGCATCTGATTGAACAAAGGTATCTGAAAGCTCTTAGCAGCATTCAATGCAAAATTTCATCCTCTTTCTAAAAACTTCAAATTATTGCAGCACAATCTATGAGCTCTCGAAAAATTACCAAAATCTGCGATTCATACTTTTTGAGATTTTCAAGTTTCACAATTTTTTTAAAATTTTCACATAAATCCTCCGGACCCAAGTAACGATTCGATAGAGTGAACCTCACAGGATACGGCATAACTTTTTTTATCGTTTTTATATCTCTTCATAATTTATTCAAGGATTTATTACTAAAACCATCGAATTTTGACAGGTCTACGTCAGCCACAATCGCATCAAACAAACACCAGTAACTCTTTGGAGTCTAAAACTTTCAAAATGGTGTTATGGTAATGCTAATTTTACAGAGCGAGTGAGGGTTTACGGAATCGAAGTATCTGATTTTGAATTTTCCGGGTACAGCCCGGAACGCGTTCGAAAATATGAATTTCTGATGATTTTGCATCCGAAAACATCGCGAAGGGGAAACAAAACATCCATTAGAAAGAGGAGAACAAGCTGCATCGAATTAAAACCGAGCTGTCACCGTTTGATGTTCAACGAGGTTTGAGTTGACCAAGAATGGAAATTGATAGCATCGATTAAACTTCCATTGAAATATGACGAGCCATGGAAAGGAAAGAAAATTGTTTTGTATCCTGTAGGGTTTGCTCTATTTACTCGCTACTTAGACTCCTTCAGAGGATTGATATAAAGATTGGGAAAAATAGCTAAAGTTGACCATAGCAAAAAGCATTGGTCGCAGATGGGGGATTTTCCAAGAGCTCATTACTGCGCCACAATGATTCTATAACTATTAGAAAGAAATTGAAATGCATCGAACGCGACGCGACGGGGTTGCGGTGAACTCTGTGGAGTGCGCCGGATATCGGCGACTTTTCTGACGAATTATTAGCGGTATTGTATATGAGCAATGTTGCTGTTTAGGTGACTTCTACTAAAATCTGCACAAGTTAACGCTTACTGTGTATGTGCATCTGGTCTTTTCCACTTTTTAGGTTCTATAAATGATCAGAGATTACCTTTATGAAAAAGGTTAGTGCCCAAGCAAGATCCGAGCCGCACGAGCCTCATGGCCAGAGTAGGCTAACCTGCTGCACGGTTACCTACCTGATCATGAGCTCTTGCAACGGGCACTTGTTTCCCTTATCTTCCTTGCCGCGAAACGAAAGTCTACCGCCGCAAGTGAGAAGTTGCTTGATAAGTGATAATATTCCACTTTTATCGCAAAGCGCCAGATTCCGATAAATCGGAAGGACTCAGCTCAAGGGATTGCCATAAAAGGTAGCCTAGAATCTCCGGCAGGGTTGAAAGCATTGGTGCAAATTTTAGCCCAATCTCCAGCTGCAAGAAATAGACGGTAATATCAATCTCTCATTCAGATGTGTATAGGCGTGATACACAAACTTGAACTTTTTGATCATAACTTGATCAACCAGCAGAATTACTCGCCTGCAGCATAATTCAAACTTCCAGGCATTTATTGCGGAATGTCACACTTATAATCTTACCGATTGTGCCTTCGCTTATTTTCTCGTTTTCTGTTAGACTTTTTGACTGTTTCGGCATGAAAGGGTGGTTTCGGAAAGTACAGCTATAACTTTTTTTGAGAACATGAACAGAACATGAGAACAGCAAACAGTGATTCTAAAATTAAGGTAGCGCCAAATCGGAGATAGGATTATACTTCTTGGTACAAACGTCTTTGTAATGGTGGAATTTCATAAGTCTAAAACAATAACAGTCGTGTGAAGGCAAGTTTTCAGGAAAGCAAACTGAGCATATGATAGATCCAAGCTTGTGTGTGGATGGACGCGTTCGTAGCGCCACCCTTTACGGAAACGTAACACATCCTGTCCTTTGATGCATCAAGTAAGTGACACACACACACAAATACACACACACACACACACACACACACACACACACACACACACACACACACACACACACACACACACACACACACACACACACCTTATCCCTTCCTCAAATGATCGTTTGCACCGCAAAGGTTGTAGCAACTTTTCATAATTATTAGGTTGTAAAGAAAGTTGTCGGGTACTTTTGAAAATTTCATTTTCAAACACATTTTTTCGGCGCTCGGTCGGAATTTGACACCAAGTTTTTTATACTATTCAGTAGAGGGAAGCCTAGAGTTTTCGATACTAAATCTGATTTTCATCGATGCCAAGAGGTGCTTGATCTGCACATCAAAAAAAACCTTTTCAACCATAAAAATTTCACAAGTTTCTTCCTACGGTCATTTTTTTGTGCAATATAAAGAATTTCGTCCAAATCTTGGGTTATCTGATTGGGAAGCCTGTTAGCTTTCGAGCCCAGCTGCACTCGAGTTTTGGGATTTGCGCTCAGAAATCAAAAACTGTCAAACTTGCCTCCGGCTGCAACTCTTCTCGCGGCTGGCGTCACTTCTGCGGGGATCGCCACGCTTGATGCTTGAAGTTACAGCGATTTGGAAAAGATTTCACAAGTGCCCGGGAACTTTCTTCACAACCTAATATTTGCGTAGACATTTAGAAACCAAAATCTGCAGTACTAATGCATATTTTGAGAGGGCGCGCATAGCAAGTGTACGATTGCATTGTATAACCCATTGCATACGTGACAACATGAAGTTTATTCAAGAGAACACTACAACTTGGTGCGCTCAATCATACTTTGTGTGTGAGAAGCTTTCTTCCACGTTCCGCTTTCGAGTGCAACAACGGTCTTTCATACATTTGAATATGTTCGTTATTCCTTTGCTTCTTTCCCAGCATTGTTTCATGCACTGTATAGAATGTAAGCACGCGTCAAAACCTGAGATAAAGCTCAACGTCCTTACCGTGAAGAAACCCTGCTTCTCTTGAGTTGAACTTCGATCAAATTCAAGCATGGGACGACGATCAGGACTTTGAGTACGACCATCGGGACTTCGGGTACGGAGAGTTATTCGATGACGAACACTTTCTTTAGGGCGAGCATCGGCATTGAAACATAGCAAGAGTAGGAGGAATGCAATTGGCCACATATCCAACGAATTTCTATAATAAATCCTGCCGTGCGAGTATGGATTATTAGTTAACTCGCTTATACGATACTGACCAAAGCTTTGTTTTTATGCAAGAAGACTATTGTGTAAATAAGAGGTCTCATTGTTTTATCCTAATCATCTCGATTAATTCGAATGGTAACGTAGATTAACTTCCAGGATCAGGTTTAAGGTCAAACACCCCGACCTGGGTTTTTTTATTTTTGGGATTTATTTTGTTGCGCTTATTAAAACCTACTTATCAAATCGAATGAACATTCGATCTTCGAGTAAATCATTCGAATGCTTATGATTCGAAAATTCGAATATTAAAAAATCTGAGATTTCAATAATATTCGATAGTCAAATATTCGAAAATTTCGATTTTTGAATATTACTCGACAACGAATATTTGAAAAAAATTTCGAATTTCCCCAAGTATAATGGGCAGTAAGCTCAAACCTGTTGATGCCATAGCTATCAACTTGGTTTTTAATATCCTCTCATTTTTTTCCTGGGGAAGTTATGGCTTGGGAAAATTAACATTAAGAAAAGATTATTTTTCAAATATGCTACTTGTACCGTGTAGTCGAGTACATTCAAAGAAAATTGTGCATACAGACCCAAACTCCTTAATACAAGTTGATTTCATTCGGTTGCCACATAACGGGTTTTGAAGTTGAAGAGGAGGAAGAAAAGGTTGTGAAGGTAATGTAAAGTCGTTTTTGAGCGATGCGTGCCTGACCCTGGTTATTTCTGTTCAAAATGAATCAAGATAGACTAAACTGTCACATCGCACAGAGTACAGCTAAGTTTTGCAAGCAGTTCATTTTGGTTGTTTATGTTTAGGATTCTATTCGATATAGTGGTTTATTTTGATTGACTGTAAAACCGCAGATGTAATCAATCGCAATACAATCAAGACGATTTCGGACATCCAGTACAGGAGGAGAAAGGCGTTCGCCAAAAAATCATAACTTCCTTGTCATTCGATGGATTCTCTCAAAATTATTTTTGTCTGAAAGAGGAACATGCTCTTTATAGATGTACTTTGCCTATGAATTAGTTTGAGAAGACTCGAGAGTTAAAAGCAATTGGAGGAAATTAGTCAAAATTGACATTTTTCGAGCTGGGTTACGGAAAATTCTGAAGGTATTTTTACTTGAAAGAGGAGATTACTCTCATTACAATGGTACCTTTTTCATGTGACAAAACGAAAAATTTCGAAAGTTAGAAGCAAATGAGCATTCCTTCTGTTTTGCAATCTTTGAGCATGCTCAAAAAGGCCTAAAAACGTCACAGAAAATACGGAAAATTTATGAACATGGGGTTTACGAATCTTCTCTTACTAACAAGCTGAATTCGTGCTAATCAAGAGCAATTTTGATTTTCGTGAAAGACGCAGGCCCAAAAACCCTAAAAAATCACAATAATCAGATGTTAGTGGCTATACTATGTTATGCCAGTGCCAGGTTTGTACGGTGGAATTCTTTATTGGCCTTACGGTTCGACAAATTCGTCTTCGTCGGAGGCCTTAATCCACCGTTGTGTTAGTGAGAGTCAGTAGAGTCATACGTAGCCGCACCGGAGAGACAGACTACAGTAGTCTGTCTAGTGTAGTCTGTCTCTCCGGTGCGGCTACGTACTGACTCTACTGACTCTCACTAACACAACGGTGGATTAAGGGCTCTAACGAAGACGAATCTGCCGAAACGTAACAATAAAGAATTCCACCGTACGAACCTGGCACTGGCATAACATATATAGTATAGCCACCAACATCAATTCCAAATGCCAAGGTTCAGAGAGGAGAAAACATGGAGCTTACAATAATCAGAATTGCTTTCAATTAGCACGATTTCAGCTCATCTAGTAAGAGATTGTAACAAAACCCATGTTCTTGACTTTTCCGTCTTATATGGGACTTTTTTAGGCTTTTTTGAGCATGCTCAAATATCGCAAAACTGAAAAATTCTGTTTATTTGCTCTTAACTCTCGAACTTTTTCGTTTTAACTTATGGGAAAGGTACCATTGTAATGAGCATAGTTTACTCTATCAAACAAAAATACTTTCAGTTTTCGTGACCAAGTTCGAAAAATGCCAATCTTGAATGATTTCATTCAATTGCTGGTAACTCTCGAAATTTTTCAAGGTAATCCACGACGGAGGTGCAGCTGTGAAGTAGATGACTTCCCCTTTCAAACAGTTTTAGCTTCAGTGAAATCCATCGATCTGTAAGGCAGTTATGATTTTTTGAAAATGATGCGCAAGAACTTTCGGACCAACCTAATATATTAGGTGGGTGCAAAAGTTCTGTCGTTTCATTTTCAAAAATTTGTAACTTCGCCATATTTCAACGGATTTGCTTGCTTGTGATTTTATTAGAAAGAATAGGTCTTCCGCTTTCAAGCGCTGTTTTGCGGAGCTTCTGTTTCGCACTGAGTGCAGAGATAAAAATGGAAAACTAAGACCATGCAAACTTTGACCATTTTAAGTTAGCTCACCAAAAATCTGGAATGCTGCAGAAAAATCTGAAATCGTCAGTACATATGTTTTTTGGTCTACTCTTTGCAATTGTGAAGAGTTTGTGCTGTTTCGACGTCTCTTTGCGAAGTTATGATTTTCGCGAAAATTCACAAAATAATTGATTTTGGCGTTTCCCATGGTAAACTCGATATTCATAACTTCTCACGGAGACGTTCAAACAACACATACTCTCAGTTGCAAAGAGTAGACCAAAAAACATATGTACTGACGATTTCAGATTTTTCTGCAGCATTCCAGATTTTTGGTGACCTAACTTAAAATGGTCAAAGTTTACATGGTCTTAGTTTTCCATTTTTATCTCGGCACTCAGTGTAAAACAGAAGCTCCACAAAACAGCGCTTGAAAGCGGAAGACCTATTCTTTCTAATAAAATTACAGGCAAGCAAATCCGTTGAAATCTGGCGAAGTTACAAATTTTTGAAAATGAAACGACAGAACTTTTGCACCCACCTAATATTAGGTTGTTTCGCAAGTTTTGTCGGTTTTTTTATCGCTCACTAAAACCCATAGAACACCAATCCATGGGCGATCTAGGTATCATTTGATTCAGATTTTTATCCTCTTTCTTAAAACTATCTCTGCTTTCTGATTTATTTCTGTACTCCTGTAAACATCGCACTCCTTAACTCCCAAACTTTTTTGTAGAGTTACTCCCCAGAATATGAAACTTTTGCAGCACCCAGGACCTCTCATGCTTCTCAAGGAAAGATGATCCTTGCATTTTTCGTTTCCAAAGGCATCAGAAGTCAAACTGCGTCAACAAACAGCTGGTTTGAGGAGTTTTCAAGCCCGCGTTCATTTCAAACGACAGTCCTGGAATACACTTAGCTTTTTTGATAGATAAGGTGAAGAGCGCTTTCGTAAACTCCGCGTAATCGCTGATATTGACAATGAGACTCCAACCATAGGGTTGTCGCGCTTTTACACCACATAACTCGATTTTCAAGTTACAGAAAACGCTGCAGTGTAGCCGACAATACACGTACAACAATAAACTTGTGTGCCTAATCAGGAATTTTTGGGGTTGCACATTCTGGTTCAGCCGCAGTTGTCATCCGTTGAGAGTTGAGTTGAGCACCCTGCACAATCATATCAAAATAGTGAGATTTGTGATTATGTTGAATCTACTGCTCGCATAGAATTTTCGTTGAAAGTATTTCAGATCTAAATGGCAACTGCAGCACTAGAAAAAATCTAAAAGTTGTTGCAAAAGATGCATCTCCATGTAGACAATGCAATAAATCGAGGGCCAGATATCTTTATAATTATGTCCAGCTTGCAAAACAGGCTATTTCGAATTTTTCCATTTTTCTCCGTTCGAAATCAACGAGATTGGAAGCCGTTCTGAGGAGTTATGGTAGGCTTACATGCGCACTTGCACCACTTTTAGAAATAGGGTGTCCAAAACGACTATCTTGGGTTTCACGCACTTTGCTTGTTAGATTTGGAATCAGGGCCATGAAAAGACAAGAGAATGGCAAAATGATCGAAGTCGAGAACCTGCCCGAAAGGTGCCTCTAAGTGAGGCTGATGTACGAGTAAAGATTAGGCAATCCCGGAACTAAAAGCCTAACCAAGTTTGAAAGTTTCCATGTTAAGATTTTTGAATGCATGAGCAGTTAAAGATTCAGAATAGTTTTCAGGTTTTTCTCCTTTGCTCCCTTTTGCTCTTCCTGTGCCGCATCTTGGTGAGTTTCATTCTACTTTTGCAGCAGTCTAGCAAACTCAAGAAACCGCAGGTGTTCAGATCTAATCCTTTAGTTCTGAGACTTGCAAAATTCAAAATTCTTCAAAATTTTGAAGAGCATCTGCTTCACACTGAGTGCAGAGATAAAAATGGAAAACTAAGACCATGTAAACTTTGACCATTTAATGTTAGGCACCAAAAATCTGGAATACTGCAGAAAAATCTGAAATAGTCAGTACATATGTTTTTTGACCTACCCTTTACATCTGTTAATAAATGTGCTGTTTGGACGTCTCTGTGAGAAGTTATGAATACCGAGTTTACTATGAAAAACGCCAAAATTAATTAATTTGTCAATTTTCGCGAAAATCATAACTTCTCAGAGAGACGTCCAAACGCACAATTTATTCAAAATTTCAAAGAGTAGGTCAAAAAACATATGTACTGACGATTTCAGAATTTTCTGCAGCAAACAAATGTTCCCATTATGATTCTCAAGCAGCTAACGCACTACTAGGTATAGGGCTCCTGAATTGCAGAGTCGTTTGCACCAGCGGTCGCGCGACCGCGTCGTGCCCGGGCATTTTGCCGGCGCCGACGCCATCGATCGAGGCGGCGCCATTGATGCAAAGGCGCGACGCTGTCGCGCGACCGTGGATGCAAATGACTCTGCAATTTAGGAGCCCTCTATCTAAATGCTGCTGCATGACGAAGGCGCAATATCTTTGGGCGCGAATGCGGCTTTATTAGCCGCAGAGCGCATAAGGCGCAGGATTTAAAACGGTGTAGATACGCACGCGCC